CCACAGTCTCGGGTCCCATCACTCCCACACACACCAGATCAGCCCATACTCACAACACTCACTGCCACTATGCCGTTCAGCTTTGGCATGACTCAGAAAGAAATACACAACATATTTTCCAGCTAAGACCACGAGTGGCATTTTGAATGGATCTTTGTCTTGATGGAACTGATTAACAAGTGTAAGTTCTCATGGCCATGTGATAAAGCAGGGAGTAGAATGGACCCACTCAGTTCACGTCTGTGTGAGTGAAAGTCGATTTTGGGGAAAAATGTTGATAGAACCATCAGCATTTTATAAAAAATGTGTTGTGATAAATACTCTAGTTAGATCAAGTCTGAAGCTGCTGACACGACAATGGCCTCAAAAGTTGAAGGTCGACAGAGCAATGACACTTGCTGTGATGTCTGGTTTATACTGTACAGGATCAGAGAAGTAGATCAGGTACGGTGGAGACAGCCATTAAAAAGGGAGAAAAGAGACACAGTTTGACAGTTTGACACATGTGAAGGACAGCTGTATATGCAATGAATGAGGAAGAAAAGGAGAAGATGTTGCGTAGGGTAGATTCCTGCTAGTACCCAATCGACGTGGCTTTCAGGGACTAATTTGCAGTGTTTTGACAAGGAGTAGCTCTGACAAATGGAATTGGCCCAAATTGTTTTCCTACTCGTTGTAGTTCTTTGAGTCGTTCTTAGTGTCAACACCTCCAGCAGCTAACAAGTAGCTGAAGAGACAGATGATGAACTAAACAAATATTGGAATAGGTAGAGAGATGGAACTGTTGTTTGTCAACACTGATGCTGTACTATCTTGATAGGAAATAATAAAGTACGTTATAGCTGCAACAGATTTCCCACAGCACAGCTGTCCAGCACTCAGATTAGAAGCAGGTGAATGTGGAGGTGTCAGCAATCAATGAAAGCTAAGCACTAGCAGCGTTCTCCTTTTTGCTAAAGCAGTTATCTTTCTTTATCCAAAATCCCCAGGAGAGAGCATGTGTGCTTGTTGTAAGGTTTTAAAGCCTGACTGTTGTTATTGTCAGTTGTGTTGTCAGAATGGGCTCTTACATCTACTGTTTGTTTGAATGCAGAAAAACACCAAAAATGTCAAGTCATGACGATGTGAACTTATACAACAGTCTGAAACTCGTGCCTCTTTCAGCGTCCTCGTCCCCTTTTTTCAGAACTTGTATTTAAAGACAGCCAGTTCCCTTACTTACCCATTCATTCTCGCGGTCCGTAAAAGTCTTTCTGTTCCCACAAGGCTTCATGGTCTCAGCTCATGGCTCTTGTCCCCTTGGCCTTGCATACAGTCTGTCTTCATCCTTGCTTTCACTCGCTCTAACTATGTTACTGAATTGCTCTGTTCCTCGTCTCGGAGGCCAGCTGAGCCAACCACCACTGAAGCCTGCTAGAGTACGACTGCTCCAAATGTATAAACGAGACCAGCCTTTAAGCCTTTTTTTTTTCATAGGGAAAAAAGTTCACATCCCACTGTCAGTCAAGCAGCGGAGCATAGTTTCAGCTGGGCCGGCATCCAAACAGACATGAAACTATTCTATTTTAGTCTGCCATATGAGCAGCGGTGCTGTTCAGAAAGGGGGGGGGGGTTCTGTGGTGGAGCATGTAATTGCAGAGTGACCAGCTATGGCGGGATGTAATTGCAGACCTCATCAGATGAAGTGAAACTGCCAGTGAGACAAGGTAAAGGACTTAATGCGTGGCAAAATAAGAAGAGAAAAAGACAGACAGACCACATAAATAAAATGAGGGGCTGGGTTCCAGATGTGGCAGAGAAAAGAGGGAGGGAAGGAGCAGAAAGAGGAAGGGAGGAACAGAAAAGAAGGCCAGATGAAGGAACTGCCGTGGTAGCAAAATGAAATCACATTTCTTACACGGCTGAAAAGGTGTTTACCTTCCGAGGAACAGTCACACAAGATGGAAAGGGGGGACGGGGGACGGTGAGAGGATGTCGGGCCGACCTTGTGTTGTTTCTGGCCCTTTACCATGAATGCTCCTGGGTGTCTGGTTTCACGTCAGACTTGGAAATGACTGCCTTATGGAAAAATTGGGAGTTTTAAAATGAGGAAAGAAAATGAAAACACAAAGTGCAGCTAAACGGCTGTTTCCCATTATGTCTGAGACTCAGCTGGTCTGTTCCTGCAGTTCATACTGCTTTGTACTCCAAGATTTAGTCAAAGGGTGGTTCCACAGTCACTTCCCGGTGTGCTTGACTGTATAGAAGGAAACTATATTAGCTTTACCCTAAATCTGAATGAAAACAAGTCATTTCCCCACAAGGTTTACCTCATTTCCTAGCAAAGGAATCAGCTGGGTGAGCTTCAAGACGTGTGTAGATATTAGTTGCAGAATTTTTGTCTATTTCCGATGCACTGCATTTGACTTTTTGTTTTGTGATGGCATGTTTCACTTTAAATACACTGTAAATACAAATGGGTATAAAAACCAGAAATAGGTATAAGTGAGTCAAAACGACTAAATATTAGCTTAATGAGAACTGAGGTTTGGTCCAGATATAGTCGAGTGAAGAGTTTTCTAAAACAAAAAGAGAAAATTCTTTTAAACATATTTCCCAAATAAAACCTCTCAGAGGACATTGTGGAAAAACAAGTTAGGGAATGCAAAAAATGCAGTCAAATGTCAGTAAGTCCACTAGCAACAAACTCTCATCTTATTGATCACATGGAAGAAGACGGTAAAGACCAAACACACACACACACACATATATATATATATAGTTATATAGTTGTTTCAGAGGTGGTTAATGGAAATACTGAATGAGTGAAAATGAATTTTATTCTTGGAGCTTGAGGCAAAGCAGGGTTTGATGTTACAACTTTGGTTTTCCATTTCCCTAAATGGTAAACTCTTCATTTAAACCATCAGGATGGAGACTCCTCCAAAGCCTCAGGTCTTGAAACGCATTAGTGGTATGTATTTCTGGGAAATGGACCCGGTGGCACATCTTCCCACTGGAGATGGGGGCTTGCTTCTTGGTTTCCTCTTTTGCAAACCGTCTAATTTTGAACTTAAAGGGCCCCATCCATTGCAGCTGTGCGTCATTAGAAGTGTTTTTCTCATTGGCATGGTGGAATTGTTAGATTACTGCAAAGAAAGTGGCTCCAACCCAAACCAAGTCACGATTAAACCCCAAATCCCTGGTCTAGGATCGGTGTTTTTTTTTTGTTTGTTTGTTTTTTTCTTCTTCAGTCATGCAGAATGAGTTTCCATGTGGATTCCGACAGGGATACTACTCACTGCTGACTTTGTCCAGTGACAGACCTATAGTGAGACAGAAAGGGAACACGGGTGCACACATAATAAAAGCCTCTGACAGATGAGTGTTAACGGCTGAAGGACTATTAGAGCACAAATTCCCTTCTGCTGTTTATACTTAAAAGAGCATCAGTTCAAATATTAGTCATACAAGTCCTCGCCTCTGATCATTAACATGTTATACACTTGTACATGTGCTTTCATAACAAATTACTCTTCACACTGTTAAGTGTCCATAGTGTGGACACAATACATCTGCTCTGTGTGTGTGTGTGTGAGAGCAGCAAGTTAAAAAAATGACCTTTGTACACCAGAAATACTGAAGATGCAAAAAACCATGAGGTGTGAAATAAATAGCTGTGCAAATAAAGCACCAACCAAAGAAAACACACCATCTCTTAATTATTTCACAGTATTTAATTGTGTAATGTGGGTATTTAATTGCTGGAAAACAAGACAGAAATGTGTATTAGTTTATTTATATTCACTTTGTCTTTATTTATTTATATTCAGTTGTGGAAAGCAGATGCAGATATGGAGTATGGGGTTAGTCTAACTTATATTTGTCTGAATAGCTTCTTAGCATCGTGTGAATCTGCCAAGAATCTAAGATGACAACTTTTTATTGGTGGAGAAGTGAAGATTCATTCTTCTTAAATCCATCTGTACTGAAGGACTTAAAACCTGTGTTACATGGAGCTAAAAAAAACATACAAAACAGTGCCCCCAAGTGACAATTGTTTGATGCTCAAAAAAGAGCTCTTTAAACTCTTCTAGCACTTGATCTCAGTTTTTGTCCGTCAATACAGAAACACTTCCTAATTTGACTTTTTAAATATACACGGTTCAGTCCAGTTCATCTTTCTTAAATCCGTGACTCACAGACTTTACTGTCATCTAAACTCTCAGCTGGTCAGATGGTGAAGAACCTCATTGGTGGAGAATTATCCAGGTTTGTGTCTGTAACTTTAACTTTAGGGTTAAAATTTTCTTTCTGAAGCTTGAGAGCCTCATGTGTCACAGGTTGGAGATTTGCGTCAGTTGTGGAGCCTCTGCAGTGCTGCTCTGTAACTTTTGTCAAATTGCGTTGCCACCTATTGGCGTACTGCTGGAAGAACAAAACCCAGCCCTCATACTCAGGCTGCACATTTTATGATTGAAAGTCTTTCAATCGGCTTAAGTGCAGCATGCTGAGGAAGACTGAGAGAATATATTGTACTGTGATCTGTATCTAAAATAAAAGAGACTTTTGGCATCATTTAGTGTCCTGTCAAACGAAAATAATGTTTCTACAGCTATGCCAAAAAGACAATATTTTAGATGCCTTCAGTCGTGCTTGGAATATTAATGTAAATGAATGGCAGTATATTGTGGATCTGATTGTAGTCACTTCCTCTGCAAGAATGAACAGGACTGACTGCATTAATGCACTCTTTCAACCAGTGTTACTGTGTATGTCACCTCAGCCTATTTGCCAGACTCAGCGTGCAGCATTAAAGATTTTTTTTATATCTCTTCTTATTAAGTTATGTTATTATTAAAAGTCAATTGCTTATGTAGAAAAAAATACTTCTGAAACCCGTTGAAACTTGTTCTACATCGATGTGCTTCGACAAATCTTTGAAGAACAACACAAGTACCTCAAACCCGAGTGTATCTAAAATACATTTTAATCTTGCTGAAATTTGTTTTCACAATATATTTTTTTTTACAATATTAATCTGTCTTCTTTCTCTTCATCCTTGCTCAGGTCTTCTTTATCATCTCAAAACAGAACTGTACAATCATGTAAATTGTTCTACATCAAGGCACAAGACAACAGCCGTTGTGGGGGGGCCTTGGGTAGGCTGATCTTTAATGGCGTCCCTGTGGCACACAAAAAAACAGGGAACCCTTGGGAGGATGGGGAAACATGGTAGAGTGGGGAGGATGGATCATAGATGGGAAGCATCGCAAGGAAGAAAGTGTGCTCTAACCAGCTGAGGAGAGGAACACAAATTAGCTGATAGCCACTGCTGCTTTCAGTTTATTTTCCAATGATAGCATTGTATTAAAAATAAATGAGGATCCAGGAGAATGTCTTATTTTTCTGCAGGACTTCATTTTTTCATGTACATAAATTAAAGTGCTTTTTTTTTTCTTCTTTTTTTGACAAAAGCTAAACACATCACTACCAGGATGGAAATAGGGACAAGATTCCTGTGGTGATATTTTTTTTTTCCTTAGAAATGTGAGTGAGAGTGGGTAAAGGGCCAGTTCAGTGTTTTATTTTCTGCTTGATTTTGCTTTGTTGGTTTCTGTTTGCTGTTTTTTCTGTTGTTTTCTGTTTTTCAACCTGTGGAAAAGAGAGAAAAAAAGAAAAACAAAATGTATTAAACCCTAATGTAAAGTTATATTATTCAATCTAGTACAAAAAAAAATTATGTTCTCAATAAAAGAAAAATCACTTAAAATAAATTAGGCGTGACTCAAGGAGCACAAACATGACTATTTACCATTTCCAGGAAGGTTCTGCGGTGCTTACATCTGGATGCTTCTCCTCCGCCTGCCAAAAGCCTTAGCACCAACGTTGGTGGGGACAAAGTTGCTGTTGCCCATCCCTCCTGACCTGCTGAGGAAGTCTGCCAGTCGATGAGTCACACAGGTGGCGGTGTTGCAGGCTCGCTTCTGTGCTGTAACGCTGCTTCAGAAGATTGAACATTTGGTTAGAACTTTCCTCTGCTGCGACAGTCCTGCTGCCGTATTATGGCTGAAATTGAAAATCAACAATAATAAGACAAAGAAATTGAAACCTTCCCATCATAGCTTTTTTTTTTTTTTCTTACCTTGAAATCAGTTGAACAGTGATGACGACAAAGCTCTACGTTTTTAAATCTGCTATTTTAAGTCCATGTACCATTAGGTGAGTGCTTAAAATACCTCTAAGAATGACAATGAGCTAAGGCTCCCTGGTAGAAAAATATGTTTATTGAACAACAAGCATGGTGTCATAGGAATGGATCATTTATTGACTGTTTTATTCAGTGAACGCCGTCAGCGCTTTAGATTTGGGGGCTTTAAATGGCAGTTGAAAGACTACAGGTCGTACAGCTCACAGTGACGGAGGTGTCTGAACAAGCGCCGCAACTACATCTATGGAAACCAAGTCTGATTGTCTAAAATGATAGGGACAAATTATTCTCTGTCAAAGAAAAGAGAGCGTGGGGAGCGGAGAGGACCGAAGAGTTAGTTGCAGGTACAGGACTTTTTTATATCTATATTTATATCAGTCAAGCAGATAAAACCAACATGCACTTGCCAGTCCAAAAATTATAAAGATGGAAGAGAATTAGAAAGAGCTCAGGGAGGGAAGAAAAGAAAAGGGTAGGCAGGAGATGCAGTTAAGGTAACAGAGGGTCTGGGGGGCAGGGGGGGCAGGAGGAGTTAGATGCTGTCAAATGTCTCTCCATAAGTTGCATAGCTGTCAATCTCAGGCGCACTGCGCTTCTTCCCAGGCGTTCCTGCTCCGACGTTTGTGCGAGGAAATGTCTGCAACTTGTGCAGCTCCTGAGACAGTTTTCCCAACACACAGGTGCTGAGGTTGGAGCAGCGCTTGGTTAGAGGCCTTTCCATGCTGTCAGGGAGGGGACACACAAAACACATGCAGAGAACAGGCTCATAGATGTGGGAAAACATGCAGGTAACATTTCCATCGTCATTGTCATTGTTCCTTCATTCGTTTGCAGCATTTTGTCAACATGCATTTATTTCTCATGCACTCAGATGTATCAGAAAATCAAAGTACAAACACACCCACTCCCCCAACCGGAATCATGCGCCAATTCTCAAAGAACTTGTCATCCTTCTCCTCATGCGCCAGAACCCCCGCCCACAGTCAATCCCCTCTTGTCACATCTTTTACACCCACAGAACAAACAGCAACCAGTCGCTTCCCACTGTCATGCAACTCTACTTAATTGACATCATGCACACTTATCCATTTCTTTAGGCATACACTGTTCACATGCCCGGCAGGCAGGCTGGAAATAGTCCCTTCAAATAAAGTTCAAATCAAACTTATCCATGCAGGAGTAGGGTCATGACAGAGAATAGGGATTTTTTTTTTTTGTGATTTTGTTTTTAAAAATATTTTATATAGTACAGCTCAATACTTTTACTTCGGTCTGCTGAAAAGTACGTACCTCTAAACCCGATTGAAGTGTGTCATTCTAAAGACTTGTCCTCAGGGATATCAGAGTAAACCAGACAATTTTACAGTTTCTACATCAGGTCCAGCAGAGCTTTTCTGTTTTGTCTGTTTATTCAAAAGATTTCGTACGCATTTCCCTTGTGTCTGTTACGGGTTGTATTTGTATAAACAACACTTTTATAAAAAGGATCAATAATCCATACCTGTTTCCTTCAGATGCCTGCTGCTCCAGTTCCTCCGCTGTCATCTGCACAAACTCTTTCACAATGGCATTGAGTAACCTTCGTGCCTCGTAGTCCGTGAGCGTGACTCGGTCTGACATGGACTCTAAACCCGGTCTGTTTGAGAGGTAAGGAAGGAAGAGCAGGTGAGTCTAGGGGTCAAAGAGATGGAAGGAGGACGAGCGTGTGAGATCACTATGAAGTCCTTTCCTACAGTTGCAGATAAAAGGAAAGGCGGGGGCTGAGGGTAGGGTGGGGTGCACCGCTGCTGAGCTGGCTGAATGGATAGAGGAGTTCAGGGGGTCGGGTGGGACGTCACTAACTGTATTCTGCGTACACATTATTTGTAATGTTTTTATACATTTTGATAAGATTGTTAAGGCGTCCGGTCAAAAACTCTGTGGGTATCAATACATTCTGTACTCTAGTAGTACACACTTCCCCTGCACCTCTTGACATGTTACAATTTTCCTGTAATTTTGAGCAGTTGGATCTATCTCCAAAAGTACAAACTGTGAACTGTGGAGTGTGTCTTACCTGGCAGGGGCGGCTTGTGAGCAGTACATCTGGCAGATGACCAGGGCGTAGGCAACGAGGAAAGCAGAGATCTTCAACATAACCATGGTTCCCTGCGTAACCAGAAAGATAACACACCATTAGCGCCAGCAGACTGCTTCCATTTGCACTTCCACACGCACTGTGCAAATATATTAGTAAGCCAATAAATTCACAAACATCAAATGTCAGTCATAAAGTGCAGCCTTCGTGTGCTTTTAGGAGAAATTAAACCAAAAATGAGCTTTACTTTCCAGAGGAGTTGGCACAGCTCTGCCCTTATCTCCGCCTCTCACTGTTTGCCTACAGTCTCCTGCGGAACATTGTGGCTTTTATTTCCTCACAAGTCGCCTTCAGACCCGGACCACGTAACAACCCCCCTCAACCCCCCCAGCTCTTCTTCAGAAAGACACACTGTTCCTCCGAAGCATCTAGCCTAGAGCACAGGTCAGGTAGTTCTGTCATCATGGCTCTCTGAGTGAGGGAGGGCTGCAGGTGCTAATGTCAGTGTGGGTGCAGTGCAGTGTGTGAGTATTCATGTCTGTGTGTAAACCGGGGTCCTGAAGTGTGTGATGCATGGAGCACTTGCCAGTGCTGGGAAAGGAGGGGTGAGGAGGAAAGTGGGAGGAGGGGGGACTCCAAGCTTGGCAACTCCCTTAGGGACCAGTGCATTAGTGTAATGAGCTGCCAGTACTCTCTCTCCCTCTCTCTCTCTCTCTCTCTCTCCCCCCCCCCTCTCTTTCTCTCTTGTACACACACCCACACCAGTAAACCTGGTCCCATCATACTTTTCTCCTGTCACACTTGCTGCTCTGCTTCACATTGTTGCTTCTTTTCTTTCCTGATTCCCATCATCTCCTCCTCCACTCTTTTTCTTTCCTGCCCTTTAACTTTCTCCATCTCACTCTTTTGTCAGAGCTCGAGCCTCGAGCCACACAGAGCGTGTGACCATCGCGGCCAGAGTCCGCTCTCAACACCAGCACGGTTTCCACAGTGCATCATAACTTTGTGTCCCTATCACCTCTAAACCCACACGTACACGTACAAGTCGTTAGAGCTACTCCATCAACACTTTGCCCAACATGAAAAGACAAAAGTCGGCACTTACCTTCAGAGATAATCTTCCAGCAAAAATAAGTATATATATATAAGAATTTCTATGCAAAACACAACAAGTTGACTTTCTCTAAACTTGCAGAACTACTCTTGATTCTGTTGCATGCAGCGCCAACGCACCAGCCTATATATCCCACCACTTGGATTTGTGCATTGACTGTGTAGGTGTTTAATTATCCACCGGCAACCAATCAGATCACTCTGATACTGTGCTCAGCCAATAGGAAGCCTCTCCTCAGTCCTGGCTCACTATGAGAGATATGAGCTTTGTGCTGACGTCATTCCTCAGTCACTAAGTGCTCCATTCACAAAATCCACCAGTCATTTTGACCATTTGCTATCCCCAATTTGCATTGATGTCATTAATTAAGTCAGAAGCAAAGTGAACTGGTCGCTGTAGAGAAGCATCACCAGCAATAAAAAAACATCCAAAAATGTTACATTGCGTGCAGTACCTCAAATGCCAAATCAATAAGAGCCCCCCAACACCATCGACCCTACCAGCCAAGCACTTGCTGGCGGGGCCATCTGCTGGGGAGGGCTGTATACTACAGAATGACGCACTCTGGAACTCTTCATTCATAAGGCTGTTTGTATGGCACCAACTCCAGCACTACACCCACCGAGCTCCAGCTCAGTATAAACCAACTACATTCAGCTTATGTAATGTGAAGTTTTTTTTAATTGATTTCTAACAATATGAGGTGAAATAAACTTCTGTCACTTTATTTTTCTTTCTTTCTTTTTTTTAACTTCGCAATATGAGTCAACTCTGTTCAAAGAATGCATTAATCGCTTTTAAACTCTGCCATTTATTTCCTCCTGACTTTAAATTTTGCATTGTTTATTGTGGTTTGCAGTAATAGGTAAATACAACAAACATCGTCCGGCCCCACCAGAGTGAAACATCAAACCATATTAAGTTAACAAAGTGATACCAGAGTCCAGTAATGATCACTGCTGCCTGCACGGACCTCCACCCACACACTGAGTAAACAAGTTGTCCTCAGCAAAGATCAATCGATGACAGCCTCCGACAAGAGCCGTTTTTCAAAAGCAATTACACAACTGTTTGTCGTGCACAATCGTCTCAGTTCCTCTCCTTTTCATGTATGCGCTGTGTGCAGTATGTGTGTGTGTGCACTGAAACCACACAGTAGGTGTGTCTGTGTAAGATTGTATGTCAGGCTAAAAGAAGGGGAGGGTTGCCTGTCCTTGCTTGCGTCATAGAGAAACCCCATTAGACAGGATGAGCCTTTTAGTGCTATTGAGCCACAGGGCTCACCCATGTCAGACCTTAAATCTCTGCTGTGCAGACAGCTGCAGGGTCTGCTGCCACATACACATACCTACAGTACATCACTTCTCCACCTGTACATGTCCTGCATAGATGCAGTACCAAAGGAGGCCAAAAACAGTTCGAAGTACTTCGACGTAATTACTGGACTTAACCAAAACAGTTTGAAGTACTTCGACGTAATTACTGGACTTAACAACAAAACTTTTCAATCTGTCAAATTTCTTCAAGAGTGCAGTTAGCGCAGTGTGGGACTGGCTGTGGAAGCTTCATTGACTTTCCAACAGTCACTGAGGCTGAATTCCTACTGCCGGCACATATCTGATATTTGTTGCCAATATGAGAATCGTGTTGCCTGTTTTTTTTATTATTGCAGTGTGAACGGCACAAACTGTTGCTTTGTTTGTTTGTTTGATGTAGTTCTAAATCCAGTACTTCTGCGATGTTTTATCAAAGTGACCTCAGTCTGAACAGTCCTGTCAAATTTTAATTAGTCATTGAAGTGAAACAGATTATTTTATATTCAAAAATTATTTTAGTTAATTATCAGTATTATTAACTAATTGACTGTGTACATTGAAGTTCTGTGTGTGTGTGTGTGTGTGTGTGTGTGTGTGTGTTTGTGCTGTTCCAGCTCTCGTGTTGTAAACTACTGAATCTAATTTTTTGTGTAGGTGTTCTTTTTGTTCTTTTCCATTTCTTTGGTCATCACAGTTCACCCCAGAGAGCTGAACAGACCAATTTGACTCCGCTGACGTTTTTCACTCAGTTACTGATAAAAACTTTGGAGCTCAGAGTCAATATGGTAACCTTTGAAGCCAGGCCTCCCCCAGCTCAGAGCAACGCATGTTCATCCTAGTGTAAATTATTCTTGGGGACACAATGATGACTGCTGCTGCTGCTGCTGCTGCGGTACGGTATTACTGAACAAGCAAACCACAGTGCTATATGTCAGTGCCTCAGCTCCATGAGGACAAACCAGTGTCTCATGTGTAAAGGTAACAACAAATCTACACTCACAGAAACGATGCTAGCACACACACGGTATAATTGGTGTCCTGACACATTAGTCTCCTGTGACACACGTCACTGTAAACTGACCTCATTAAAGAGGTGATGTATGTTTTAGATCATATACACATCAATAACAGACAACTACTGACACTTTTACAGTTACAGTGAGACAGTCACACGTGTTTGTTTTTTTGTTTGCGTAAAAAAAGGTGAATCTGAGAAGTTGCTTCTGTGCTGAACAAACTTAAAACATGTTGTTAGTGAAGATGTATTCAATGAACAATCCGTCCCATATCTCTTAGAGTAACTTGAAAGTCATGCAGAGAAGTCCAGACGTCTTCAGATTCACAACAGAAAGTCCAGCCAGGTCGTGCTGTAATCCACAGACAAACAGAAGAGGAGACCATACCTGTAGATGGGAGTTTGGTTGGTTTTCTGTGCTTGTATGTTGATCCTGTAATGGATGGATGATATTGAACCTCACTACAGTTGTTATGGGCCAAACCTCCTCTAAAACACAACAGTGTTAGCAGTGGATTGATATACAATATAAAAAGGTGGCGGTTTTTACTTTGTCGTTGATGGAAAAATCTAGTGTTTGGGAACAACTGCCAGATTTTTTTTCTTTCCTCTCCTCCAGTCCTGTACATAGTAACTAAGAGTACAACATGTAAACATGCAGTTTTACAATGGTCAGACACATAAAAGAGATTTACCAGAGTCCATTTATAAAGAGTCAACCAATACCTGTCTATGGGCTCCATTATGGACAGAGCCACATGTTTGTTCAAGGCGACACACCTCTTAGTGTGTCTGTGTCCTGACGATTGCTGCTGTAGCTGTTGCTGCTCCATCCATCCATCCATCCATCCATCCATCCATCCATCCATCCATCCACCTACAGAAGACAATCAGCAGAGCCATATTTATCTTCACTATTGAATATTTGTTTTCCTCTCATTTACCTTTAAAGTAAATGGTTGAGCAAAGACTAATGTGTGTGTGATTGTGACACATTGATTTGCAGGTAGAATTGATAACCACTGTTCAATAGTTAAGAGCTGATGCAGTTGAAGAGCTGAAGGTTCACTTCTCCTCAGTATCACCTCAAAAAGAGTGGACGCAGGTCAGATCAACTGTGACCTGTTTGACTCTTTAGTACGTTGTTTCCCAAAGACTGGGTCGTGACCCTCAGGTGGGTCGCAAGAGATTTTTTTTGGGTGTGGGGGGGTCTTCTCACATTGGTTTTCCCAAGAGTTAATGAATAATGTCTATTGACTTGGGTTGCGAAGGTTTGTGACTTTTAAAATATGGGTCCCCAGAAAAAAAAGATTGGGAAACACTGCTTTAGTATGGAGATGGGGTTGGAGTGTTGGTAATCTTACTGGCATCTTTGGAATGATGGGTTTCTCAACAGTTCACACGACAACAGCCTTTTACAGACAGTGAGGTTCTAATGTAACCACTATTTTAATTCAGTACGATTTCATCTACAGAAATCACCAGGAGCCAGTTGATATGATCTACGCGTGGTTGTGCTCAGCACTGAACACCTTCCAGTCAGTAAAGGCCAGGCTCCCCCAGATAAATGGCTTCCTGAGGAGAAGGGGAGGCGGAGCAGCACTTAGGTCATTATCTAACTGCAGCCTCCTGTAATGGCTCTCAATCTCCAAATCTAATCAGTGGCTCGCCACCACAAAGGAGGCGGCCACCTGATTAAATACAAGTTGAAGTGGTGTAACTGGTGTCACTGGGTCATTTTTACGTCGGTGGGACACTTTCATTTCATTCACCTGGGCCAGGATGTTTGCTGGGATTAGTTGGGAACGGGCGGAAATGCATCTTGAAGAAGTTCAAAATCCTCTTTGGCGACTCATGCTGTCCATTAGGCTGAGAGGACAAGTGGCCCAGAGAAGGTCATGGTAGCATTTCAGGCTGTCATTAGTTATGGACGCATGTAAAATGTCAGGGAGCGAGCAGGACATTTAACGTTAGCAGGTGTTTTCTGTTGTTGATCCCCAGTCATTAGGGAGATTACACAGAGCTGAGCATCAATCAGTGGCCCGCAGCAGCGCGGGAACGCTGTCGGCCTCCTGCGTCTGACATCACTTTGTGAATGGCTGGGCTGGGTGGTGTCTGCTCCACTTTCATTCATGAAAAAGTAGCTAACAAGTAAAAGGGATCCATCAGCAATCGATGGACAGAGCAGCACTGAGAGTGCTTCCGAAAGCTGCCTGTTGGGAGTCCTATTAATCGTGATTACACAAGAATGAATTAAGTGATTGACCAGAAGAAATGTGGCGTTGTTACGTTGTGAGCGTTGTTGCCAGCTTGACTTTATTGAATATGAGGATCGTTTCATAATCCACTTGTTTGCTAGCATTTTTATCCACTCATTTCTTTTTTAACATTTTCTTGCGAGGTGATAAACGCTAAGGCTGACGCAGTAAAGCTTAGTGTGATCTAATAAAATAAATTCTGATGTGTTTTAGTGTACAGCCTCTAAGGACCACGACCCACAAGAATATTTATAATTTAAAGAGAAATGTTCCCGGGACTTCAAAGCTGTCAAAAGTTTTGAGCTACTTCACTTTGGGACCAACCAAGGAAATTAACTTTTTTATCAGTTACAGGAATTTCCCCTCATGGTTTAGATATTTTGGGAGCGTTGAGAATAAATTATCATCACTTTATTAAGTGTTGTCACTATCTGTTGGAAAACTTTATATTTAGGGAATTTGTTTTAAAAAACTCTCCTGCTATCTTGCTAATTGCCTTCTTTATACTCTTTAGTCACAGTTAGCTGTGTTGGGGATAATAATATTCCGTACACAACAGAAGGTGTTGGTTCTACAGGAGGCTGGTTGGACGACGTTCACTCAGGCTGTGATTAAAGTGGCTGTTGGTGTGTTGTGTGTCGCACACTTTGTGTTTTAGTGTTACATGTTATTTAATGATATTTATAAGTTGTTTTTAGGGCTGTTAAACATGTAGATTAACATAATTACATGTCGATTCATTATGAAGATTATTCAGATTAAATGTTTTAATGATTACATACAGAAATATAGAGAAAAATTTGTTTTTGACAGGGAAAAATATATCTAGATCAATCATGATTAACAGAGGCAGCCTGTGATAAGATCAGATTAAAAATATTAATTAATCATTTTACAGCTCTGGATGTAGTTCTTTTATTTGTGTGTACAGTTGTTGTTTATTAAGTAAATCTTTTACCAAAAACAATTATTGTAACCACTAGATGTTGCTGAATCATACACAATGTACCTTTTAGTCAAATCAAATTACAGAATGGGTTTTTAAAGTTATTAATGTGTAGAAAAAGACATTGTTATATTAACATCCCTCAGAAATGTTTAAAATTATTATTACATAAAAATATGATTTCAGTTCAGTTTCAGTGATTTGGTAAACATGGAGCTTAGAGACTAAGGTAAAGAAGTTCGTACTGAAACTCTGATGCTCTGCTCAGTCTCAGCTCAGATCTGATTAGTCCAGCCGTAAATTTTGTGTGACGATGACATTATTTTTACCAGAATTACTCAAATACGCCTTAAACCGTGGCGTGACTCAGACTGGTGTCCTGTCGGGAGCTGGCCAGAGGCGAGTGCTTCCTCTAAAGCATCTTAAAGAAACTTGGCTCCTGCCTTTGGAATCATTTCCGATTCAATCACACTTGATCAACTTGGATCCCATCCTGTGGTATTTATAGAAAGTTTAACATTATGCGGTTATAAAGCCTGGCCCCGACCCAGGAACCTGCCATCTTATGTGCTTCTGCAGCAAAACGAAGCCGTTGGACATTTCCGGCCCTGAGTGCTGCTCCAGGTCTGAAAACTGTAGATGAAGTGAGGCTTTGAGAAGAGGCTGAATCTGTACAGACACAGATACGTGTTCATGTTGATCAGATTTTTTTAATACATGAGTTTTTAATCGTTGTTTTAAAAATGCTACTGCCCACAGCCACTCCTCTTCCTCCTCTTCCTCTTGTGTCAACCTGCTTACGTACGGTGTGTTCAACCATTGCTTCTTTTTTTCTACACACTACAAATGGGCTGTTTTTTTCCAGTCTGCTGAATGAAGCGCTCTTCACTCATAAAAGCCATTAATGTGACATGATGGATCTTTATGTCAGTGAAGGGGGTTTAATGATAACTTTAGCTGAAACATTCAGGTGTCTCCATTAAAACACTTGATCGCACACCCACCTGAAATGTGCCATCAAATCGTCTCCTCCTCTTTATATGATAGGGTCAATTTGTATTTGTCATTTGCATAATTGATTTTCATTTCACTGTGTTTTCAAACGTTCTCTGGTTACAAGCAGGGTTTGGATTCGTGGCATTTTATGAGCGTGAGTGAGATTTTGAATTGAATTTTTGTTTTTGCAAATCCAGGCAGTGATGAGTGTGAAAACTGTGTCTGGTGGTGAAACCGTGTGTAAATAATGAATGAATGAACGTATTGAACAGAACTCTCTGTTATTGCCTGTGTCTTCTACAGTTTCCTCCACTTGTTTCATGAGTCTTATCCTCTTATTTATCCTTTTTCCTTCCCTCCTTCTGTGCCATCTTTGTTTTGTCTTCTGTTACTGGGATTCAGTGTTTCTGTGTTCTGAACTTGGGACTTGGAAATAGATGAGTTGTACCTTTTTTTGTGCATGGATTGTAGGAATCCTACCACTGTCCTTTTCTAGCACCACCTGATTAATTCACCCATATGAAATTTGGAAACTTCTAGAACCTGTAGTTGTCTTCAGGCTTTTAGGTTAATACAATCCTTGCACACCAATGACACTTTAGGATTTAGTTGAACTTCCCTACCCCAAAGTCAAATAGCATAAATATCAAGTTGAGTTAACCTTTTAGCAGGAACCAGAACTCCTCTCTGCACAGACTCTGGTATTGATCGTCAGGACTTCCTGTCCTCAGTCTCATGTCGTGCTGGTTTTGCTGTAGCCATTGTTATATATTTAACTGTGTCCAAGTCCAGAAAATGTCTGCTGACACAGATCAGCCAATGTCTTTTTACAGCTGTCTGTAAACATTTACATCAGTCACACATGGCTGCAGAGAACCAGGAAGTTTCATGTGATGGTCAGAGCGCATGAGAATCAGTGAATCTTTAGTAAAATGACACTGACCAGTAGACTAAGAGATATTTTAATTGACAGGTGATGTCAATTCTCATTTTTGCACTTCAATAATAATAAGTAGAATATTCTATTCATTACAGTAACGCTGTTTGACAGCAGACATGACAGTGGATCCCATATGTTGACACTTACAGTAATCAGGAATGACTAAATGTTGTCTTGAATTTATTTATGTTTCAAGTCAAAGCAGGAGAAACACTGAAACTAAAAACTGCATTAAGCAGATTGTTCTTCCTCTGAGTGGATCGTCTGCCTCCAGCTCACCTTACACCTCCACTCCTCTACCCTTATAGAATCCATGATCCTTTTCTGGGCTCATCCTCCATCTCCAACATGTCTGCCGTAAGTGGTCATTGTTTCAACTCCGGGTATTGGTTTTTGCACACAAGTGTACAGCTTTACATAAAGGTGGAGCTCTGTGCTACGTCCGTCTATTCTGCATTGCAGCTGGACACTGGTGAAACTGTTATGGTTGAGTTATATTAATTCTTTATAAATATTTTATATATATAACAATATATACTCATCTGTTTGACCAACGAATTTTAACTGTATTTAACAGCGACCCCTGCCGGTGTGTTGTGTACAAACAGTAAGCACAAGTGTTTCATACTTAACACCTGAAGTAAACAGACGTGAGGCTCCAATGCAAATTACTGTATGAGATTATACGAATTAAATTATATGAAATTAAACGTTTATAATATCAGTGGGAGGGTTGTTTAATTCTACATTTTGCAGGATTTAAAGAACGACATTAGTGCATCGCTTGGCTGATATCAGGCAGTTTAATCCATCTCTGTCTCATAGATTACTCCACAGACACCAAGTGTGTGGCTGGATACTTCTTAGCTGTCTATTCTTAGGTCCATAGACTAAACAAACAGACTATCTTTCTAACTCTGATCTCATTAAGTGCTTTTTTTTTTGCTTGTAAAAAAGCCAGGTCAGCCATTTGCCAGTGAAATGCTGCATTAGAGCATTCATCAACAAAGAGACGCCAACGTCCGTGAGGACAGGAAGGATTATTCACGTTACCTCTGTTCTCGCTCGCACACTCTTAGGAGTGAAACAAAAATCACAGCTACTGAGAACGTATAGTGATGAGACATAAAAATTACATTGGGGAGGGGTGTGTGTGCAGCAGCTGACCCTTCACCTCCCCTGTTATAGGAAAGGTGCCAGCTTAATGCAGCTCTGGGCAGACGTCACTTCTCCGGCACATTAGCCTTGTCGTTTTCCAAGCTCTGACAAATCACTGAACTGTTTATGGTAAACAGGGAATGATGCTTCGTTGTGTGAGAAAAACAAACATGTAAAAACACACTGTTGTTCTGGTTTTATGGTAAAAAGCTCTTCTTGAAAAGCGTCTCTTTTTTTCCATTTAGATTGTGATTTATTTTGCTATAATACGTAACAAAACATCATCAAATGTCTTTGGTTTCATTCTCGCTCATTTCCATTAAACACACCTTCATCTCCATCTGCCCCGCCACCACGTTGAAGCGCAGAGAGCTCAGTGTGGCTGAGACCCATCACACAGTGACTCAGGCCGCTTTCCATTTGAAAAATTAAATGTGGGGGGTTGGGTGCTTGGCAGAGTTAAATAAGGCCCCCAGAAAGGAAAAAAAAAAGATGCTGAGCTCAGCACAGCTTCTACAATCTCAATCACAAAGAAAGAGCTGCTGTGCTGATGTAATGGTCGCCGCCACTGCCTTGGCAGAGGAGGAGGGTTCATCAGCACAGCCTTTCTAATTCAAGAGCTCAGAACCCGCCACCCCGCCCCCCACCCCCACTTCCTGGATCAAGGGTACATCAGATAGCGCTAAAATAGAAAAAGGTAAATAATAAAAATAATAAAAATAGACAAAGTCTTCAAACAAAACACCAGACTGGACGTAGAAGGGACTGGAGGCTGGTGAATTAACTCGAAATTGGCATTAATGTTAGGTTTTCATCAACTATAACTTCCTCTTCCCTGTTAGGCAGTGTTTCCTAAACGGTGGATCTAGACCCTAAATTGAGTTACAGGCATAAAATCCAGGGATCGTAGTATTTAATAATAAAAACCTTTACAGTACTTTTGTCCAGTCCTTTAGCAAACGCTGTGAGATAAGAGATACAAAATAATTGTTCTGGCCTTAGCATAGAATACCGCAACTTTTAACTTCTGCACTAGATGGTGCTAAATTTTACCCACTGTTCAGTTAACATTTTGATATGTTTATAAAGTAGAAGATTGGAATAATGTTTGTTTTCTTCCTTTTATTGCTGTTATCATTACAGTTAGTATCTCAGCAACAATGTTAGAGGCAAATGAAGCTGTGATGATGAATCTAAGAAGAAGAAAAAAACAAAAAAACAAACAAGCTTTGATAAACCAGCAGAAACTAAACCCCAACACAAACACTGAGTCCATGAGGACTTCACTCCCCACATCTAGATGTCTCTGACTCACAATTGATGGCTTTTATCCATGTAATGGAATAATTATCTCAATTTTCCATAAGAGATGCTTAATTTGTGTTGCACTCCAAGTATGAGGTGTTTTAGTCTCATTAGCCAACATTTATTTATTGATCTCCTTTATTCTATGTATCAGATTGTTTTTAGAATTATGAAAATCAATTTTTATTAGTTTTAGTTTTAAACTTTATACTTTATAACTTAATAAAGTAACCAATATTATAACCATACACAAATCCCCTACCTTTAGAACAAAAAATGTTAAACTCACCATAGATTTAACACATTCATAAAATACAATTATTAACTTCACTTAACATTCTACATTCCTTCTGTAAGCCCTCACACTCCACTACTGGTTTGTGTAGCCGTTGTTGCAAAAGACGGATGTAAATGTATGTGTATATTAATCTACAGTAGTTAGAATATTATAATATATGGTTGGTTGTTTTATAACTTGCAATTACATATTTTTCAGGGAAATAATGATGGTAAATCTGCCATTATTTGATTTATGTGATGACGAAAGACATCGCTACTTAACCAACCTATTTAAAGTTCTTTCCTTTTCTTTTAAAGGTCGGAAGAAAAGAGAGCATGGATGGGTTTTTTTCTAATTTACTGCTGCCGCCTAGTGTTAAAAAAAAATACAACACCTGTGATGCCGACAGGAGGGAACATTAAAAGTATAAGCACATCTAAAGCCTTTTAAAACATGTAAATGGAAACGTACTTGTTCTAAGAAAAGGCATAAAATGTGATGATAATGTAAGATTGGTGTTTTATATAATAATATAATTTTCAATTCCAACTAACATGATCGTGTTTAATGTTTTATTTAATGTTTTAAGTGTTTCGTTACACAGGTTTAAAGATACAATTAAGAATATAGTGTAATCTTTTTTTAAGAGCAGTGATTAAATCGACTTTTGTCCGGACAGTCTAGCGTCGTTCAATCGAATATTTGTATGATATCGGTTCTCGGATAGTTTCGCCTGTCACTGCATTCAGGAAAATAGATCGAGTCGAGATCATAGTGCCGGGAGAAGGAAGCGACACATTTTACAGCAGAAATGGTAAGAATTAATGAAATGTATTTATTTCTGGTAGCTATGTACAATTGAATGTGTTTGCACAACAGTTAAAACGCACGCCAAGCTATTAGCAGGACATTTAAAACAAGTTAGTCACCAAAATGCGCTAAATAAATGACAATTAGCTTAACTTATCCGCTGTGAGTAAGCAAAACACCGTACAAGATGCTAGCACAGAAGCACTGGTGCTAACCGAACTTACTATTCTCACACGAAAATGAAATAGTGACTCACAGTCACAAAAAATACTCCATTGTTCGTATTAACTTATGTACATTTTAATGCCGTCGGAATGCTGGCTCGCTGCCGTCCTGTTACTTATGTGTTAGGTAGGCTAACAGCTAACAGAAATTAGCAACTTTGTTAGCATCGATGTCGGCAGTGTAGGAGTTTTTACTTTCATTTTCGCTCAGACCTAAAACATTTTAATTTAACAACTCGCGCGAAATCAAAAAGAAATAATGAGTTCATAAAGAGATAAAAGAATGATTTCTCTGCCACGCATTATGGAAGCCCGTGTGAAAGACAACGGTGGTAACTTCAACCTTTCAAAGCTTTCTGGGTCTTCGTGTTGGGTTATTTTGTGATGTTTGGTGGGTGTGATCATCAATTATTTAGTCATGGTGGTAAAATAAAACCACAGTCTAGAAACGTCTGAGCTGGGGACAGATGGGCGGCCTTGTCTCTGCTCACAACTGGTGAAACGAGTAACGATGCAGGACAATTATGTAAGATCTGTTGTAATGTGCTGTTTTTTTATTATTATTCCGGATTGTTTCTCTGTTTTAATAAGGTTTAAATGTTATTATCTCATTTTATCTCTAGTTCCGTAATCAGTACGACAACGACGTGACAGTGTGGAGCCCACAGGTAAGGCAGTTTGCTTTTACCTGTTAACTGTGTGTCATTCACTGCTGTGGTTGTGCATAAGGCTAACTCTGGTCAGTTCTGTAATTATGTGATGTCAGAATGTTGATTGTTCTTAGAAATTTAATTATTGATGATATATATATGTGTGTATATGTATATCCTGCTGCATTATGTCATGTAGACAGAGTTGTGACAGCATCTGTATGTTGATTTGTGCACAGGGTCGTATTCATCAGATTGAGTATGCCATGGAGGCTGTCAAGCAAGGTTCTGCAACTGTAGGACTTAAATCCAAAACCCATGCAGTTCTGGTTGCACTAAAGGTAAAAAAAAAACCCTCTAGTATCTTGTGTGTCTTGCTTTGTCGATAACTATTTATTTTATTGCAACATCATGGTCATTTTTATTTTAAGATGTAAATGAATCGTTGGGCTTTCTAAACTTCTGTAGTATATTACCTCTCTTCCTCTAATTTTCAATTAGTATCCATGTCTGATTAATCAGTCTGAAAATGTAATGTCTTGGTAAACCTAGGTTCGAACACTGCATGTTGTTTTTTACTGTGGGCCATTTATGGTGTAAGAGTTAATTTTTGTGGATGTGATATGATATAAATCTGTCAACATTAGTTGTTTCTTGGGGACAATTGTGAGAATTACTAAAACTAAATGAATGAATATTCTTTTGTATATTGTATCGTCCTTGAGAGCAGTAGAGCCATTGCTCACTTTAACATTTAGCACTTGTTCCATGTCTGTGCAGAGAGCCCAGTCTGAACTGGCTGCCCACCAGAAGAAGATCCTTCATGTCGACAACCACATTGGCATTTCCATCGCTGGTTTGACTGCTGATGCTAGACTGCTGTGGTGAGTACGAATACTTTGATGATGGAGATTAAACTCTTGGTTTAACATGTATCGTCATTCTCAGTGTGCAGTTGGTTCTGTACATAATCCCATCCCTGACTCTTCCACAGTAACTTCATGCGTCAGGAGTGTCTGGACTCCAGATTTGTCTTCGACAGACCTCTCCCCACATCACGTCTCGTGTCTCTTGTTGGCAGCAGTATCCTTCAGTCTGTGAGGCCTTAGTTAGCTTTTTGCCATATGTGGTTCTGCTGTTGTTTGTGTGTGTAACAACACTACCCCTGAAAAACATTTTATTTAACCCATACAAGGATATAGAAATTGGCACAAACTTTCGGCCATAAATCAATTCAATAGGAATAGAAAAAACATTTTTCTAAGTGTTATGTTTCTTCAGATAATAAAGTTCTATAACTGCAGCACTGATCCTTGACCCTGATCCCAGAAACCCAAATTCCAACACAGAGGTATGGAAGGAGACCTTATGGTGTTGGACTCCTCATTGCAGGATACGATGTAAGTTTACTCCTTTATGTCCAAAACCAAACAAAAAAAAGATTAAAACTAATGATCTCTGTTGATGTCGTCACACAGGACATTGGACCCCACATCTTTCAGACCTGTCCGTCAGCCAACTACTTTGACTGTAAGGCCATGTCGATTGGAGCCCGTTCTCAGTCTGCACGGACTTACCTGGAGAGATGCATGGAAAAGTTTTCTGACTGTGAGTTAGTCTCATTTCAAAATCATCAAACAAAGTCATTTGTCAACTGTCGATCCATCAGTTTATGTTGTCAGACATTTGTTAATGTTTTGTTCTTGGTCATGTTGTCAGGTAATCTGAATGATCTGGTACAACACGGCCTCCGTGCTCTCAGAGAAACCCTCCCAGCTGAGCAGGATCTCACCACAAAGGTTCCGTTTCCATTCTTAATTTTAAGTGCATACGTTTAATAAGTTTGGGTTTTGGACATTTTTCACATTTTGAATGAAAAAGCACATTTCTCCTTCATCTGATTCCATTTAGCTAGTTTCTAACAATAAGGAGTGTGTTACCCTGTTAAAAGTAAAGGAAATGTTGTCTTTGTTTTTTCCAGAATGTTTCCATTGGAATTGTGGGCAAAGACATGGAATTCACCATTTATGATGATGATGAGGTCGCCTCATTCCTGGAGGGACTGGAGGAGAGGCCACAGAGAAAGGTACTGAAAAATAGACCTTTTACTTAAATACTTACTCACAAACATTCACCCTTTAATCAGATATTTAATATATCTGATCAAAGGGTGAAAAAAAGAACCGTTTCAAGATCAGAAAATGTTTTGAAGACGTTTATTGTTTTATGGACATTTGTGTTTGTGTCTCAGCCCGTCCAGCCTGCAGATGAACCTGCAGCAGAAGTACCTGACGAGCCAATGGAGCACTGAGGCCGCCGAGCAGACCGATAGTCAGCTGACCAACCTGACACTTAGTGCAACACACCAGAGTAACTGTTAGACCTGGGGGAGTGAGGGGGGGTGTTGTTGTTGTCGTCGAGATGTGCCACTTAAATAAACTGTTCATCCACATTCTCTTCTCTGCTGACATCAACTGTGTGATGTTGCTTTTGTATAAGTCACATGTATCATGAAGAAGAAGAAATAAAGTCATTTTTGAATTCAGCTCTTATGTGTCGCCTCCTTAAAAAAAAAAAACATCACAAACATGAAACTGTTAAACTGTTGACAGCAGTGTTGTCTGTGTTCATGCATGTGTATGGTGTGTGTGTAGGTAGTGAAGAGATGTTTAGTGTAAGTGAGTGGCTGATGACCTGGTTGATCTGTGATATAAACTGCTCTGTTCACACACCTCCCTGGAATTACTGTCACCGACTCATTTTCATGCTGTCGCCATTATCCAGTCTGAGAATGAAGGAGTTGAGAGTCAAACTACCTTTAGAACAGGATGAAGTCATTGCGAGGCTTTCTTTATTCTCCTCTTGTTCCTTCGTCTGACTGCAGGTTCCATCTCCACCGGTCTGATCAGGTTCTCCATCTTCTCCGGTTTCATCATGGATCCCATATTGGGTGTGAGCTCCACTTCCTCCAAGATACCATTCATCTCCTCTGGGAGGTCCAGGTCTACTGTAGCTCCTCTCTCCTCTTCTTCATGCCGCTCCACACTCTCTATCACCTGTTGGTTACTCTCTAGTTCAACATCTGCCTCGTGTCCTTCAGTCACAAGTTTTCCCTCCTCTTCCTCAGGATCCACTCTGCCTTTAATGTCCTCAGCCGGAATGTTTTCCATCAGGTCACTGTCGGCAGCTTCAGCCTCCGTCTCTGTCTGTGGACTGTGCTGACAACAGCAGTGGGAATGATCCCAGTTACGCTGAGGCTCCTCGGGAAAACCTGTGAGTACAGTGACAATATATTTCAACCTCTCTAACAATGATTCATTCATCAAAATATATATATTTATACACAATTGCAATGTTTTCAGAACCAGTAGATGGCGGTACGGCAACTCAAAATATGTCAGCTGCTTAAAATGCCCAAAAGGTAGATGATGGACAGGTCTTGGAGCTGACTTACAAGGAGAAACTATTTTTTTAGAATAAAAAAAATGTATTTTTTTAGGGCATAATTTTTTTTTCTTACTTATGTTGGAAGTGTACAATCTTTGACTGCTGGCTCAGATATGTCAGTACTGAGGGGCTTTTCTCGTGTCTTGAAGGCTAATCCTTGTCTCAAGAGCTAAATGTTGTGATAGTATTATAATAAATAAAAAAACAATATTTAAAATGTATTTAGCATCCCCTGCAGACTGAGGGATGATATCATGCTCTAGTTTAAAAAACCCAGATATTTCCTGCATACTCAACCACTGTTTATTTGACTGATTGTTGAAGAAGTTTCAGTACCTCCCCAGTCCTCCTGGACTTTGTTTTCTGGACTTACTCCATCCACCAGCTGACCCTCCCGCATAACCCGGGTTATCTCCGTCAACTGCTGCAGGAGACTCTCCTCCTGATCAGCCGTCACGCCCTTCACTCTGCAGCACAAAAGGAAAACCCACCATAACTTAACTGTATGATTATCCATGAAGGCTCTGGAAATTTGGTTTTAATGTTTTGTATCAATAGGAGATCAATAAGTATAATGCATATATAATATATAACAGACACACGCCCACCTGTCAGTACTGTGATGAGCACTGGAAACAATGTTCTCCATCACCATCTCTGTTTCTCTCAGTTTTTCCTGCAGCTGAGCCAGTTCATAATCAGCTGGAGGGAGTAGAAAGAGACACATCAAAATTGTATTTACCTCCAACTGGTGATTGTGTTGTTTTTCTTACTGAGATTAATCACAATTTGACGTCAATGAAAGTAAAACATAGTAAATGAACCGAGGTGGTTTTTGGGTATAGTTTTCACAGCCAGAGCTCAATGCAATTCATCTTACTGTATGGTGGTTTATGGGAACCGATCTGCTGTAACACAACATAATCAAATTTATCCTCTTATTAGGTTAATGCTCGAAGAAGATAAATGTTTGTGTCAGCTGGGACTGCGTATGACGTAATGCAAACACAGGCGGAGGGAGTGACACGAAAGCTTTTAGTATAATTCACAGAAATATTCAATGTAATTTGTGAACGTCTGAGGGACGAGAATTCAGTTGCAGCAAACTTGAGAGCAGAAAAGTGGAAGAGACGGAAGCAGATGCTCCACTGTAACAACCAGTGAAGCAACAGTGAGTATTAAAGTAGTTGGTACTCACTGATCTTTCTCTTTGTTTTCTCTGCGTGCACTGACGAAAACCTGCCCTCTGGAGGTTGGCTGCTCCCCTTAGACGTGATCTAAACAGGAGTCAAAGACAGAGTCAAAGCCCATCATGACAGAAATTAAACAGACTTGTTTTTTCCCCCTTTTTAAATTACTATTCTAGAAAGTGCATTTGGATTTTGGATAATCACCTTGAACAGTATGTAGAGAATGTAAAGTAAGATCCCAAAGCCGTACACAGGAATGATGTGCCCTGCCAGGTTGGACTTTCCTCCAGTTCCTGCCCCCGTTCCTCCTCCCTTTGCCTTGGCCACAGCCTCTGAGTTGTGGGCTCTGGAGTAGCCAGCACTAGCAGCCCTCTGATTTCTGGCTTCAGGATTAGCATGACGGTGCATCATTGGAGGGAAATGACCTGGTCCAAGAGGGTAGAGGAGACAGGAATATAAATATAATGTAGTATAGTACCCAAGACATAATCTAAACCTGAAAAGTACACACATGTTGAAATGTAACCTCTTCCACATTTAACATAAAATAAGCATATAAGGCAGAACTAAATCTGACCTGATCTCAAATACAACCATTTCAATATAAACAGGGTTCAGTAAAACCAACAACTCCTGTGGATTATATGGCCATTTGTAACGAATACATGAAAATAAACAGAAATAACCCAGCGCCACTAAACAGATTTTGCATCACAATCCAGCAGGTGGCAGGCCAACAGCCTTTCTCAGTACTAGGATTAGCACGTTTCTGAAACACATTAGTTGCAGAAAAGCAACCTAATGTTAAAACCTATGCAATAACAAGATTCAGTGTCCATGAATATATATTCTACATCGTGGTAGAACTCTATACAGCTGTGTCCAGAGTGAACTTTGACCTGAATCTCTCTTGAGATTTTCTGCAGTCGGTTAACCGATATGAATGTGCAGATTGCACTGTATAGTAAACACTGGTAACTATTACTGCAGTAATTTTATCCAACTCAGTTTGCAAAAATAAAATACTGTACACTTTTGGATGTTTTCTGTTGTGTACTTGTGTAGTTGTAGTGAGACTCACGTGCATCGTGACGTTTCCCATCAGATTCACGACCATGTCCGACAGAAAAGCCGTTTTTACACCAATTACAGAATGCTGATTCAGAATCTCCATCCACCGGTCTCAGACAAAAGGTGGCGTCTTCTTTTTTTCGGTACACTACACGTGGGCGCCTTCGCGGTATCAAAACAACTGCGAGCTCCACAATTTCAGACGCTAAAGTGTTGTGTGTCAATCAAACTGATCAACATGGCAGTTTGATTGACACACCACTCAGCCTGTCAGCTATCGCCTTATCCACAAAGTGACCTATCATTGATATGGACCGCACTGATAGTCCTGCCCATAGACAGCCAGGCATCTAAAATGTTTTATTTTCAATTAAGTAATGTCGAATGAAAAAGTGGAACAAAATCTTCAATTTGCGTGACGCGGGACAAAGGCTAAAAATGCCGTGCAGTACAACATAAAGCGGGACATTAAAAAATAAAACGTAAATTGTTTGGAATTGTTTGATTCCAATAGAATCCGCCTGTGTCGTTTTCGAAGTACCTACGTTTTGTCGCCCTCTTCAGGGAAGAGAACAAAATAACCACGGTGCGCCAGTCAGGTACCGATTTAATTTAGCTTTATGTGTAAAAGTAAACATCGTTGTTTTGTAATGCCTTAACAATAAGAAAATAATTTCTTCCTATCTGATTTCCTGTACATGTTACCGCAGCATTTTAAGAAGAAAGAAGCCGTTGAAGGCGCCTCACCCTCCGGCCGCTCAGCAGCATCCTTCCTCCCCCTGGACAGCAGCAGCTTAGGAAGCAGCAGCGACACACACAGAACCAAACACGTAGCAAGGGTCACCTTCTGGAATGTGGACATCGCCATTATGAGCAGGTAAGGACACCGTGACACGGTTACTGACAGGTGAAGGGACGAGGAGGCGGAGGTCGGTCCACAGTACGTCGAACGGTGTATCTGAACTTCCTTCTGTTTACCCACGGAGCGGAAGTAGCCCGGTGTGTAATTGCCATCTTTCACCACTGAGAGGCGTTAAAGGACCGTGTATTTCTTCCACAAAGGGCACCGCGTTAGTTTTACCAATTAAATGCCTCTCTTTTCATAACACGTTGTTTTTTTGCCCCGGGGAGCCTTATATTAATAAAAATATATAAACTGTTTTAATAACAATTTGCTCAAAAGCAAGACTTTTGGAATATATCGTGTAATTATAGAGAAGGGTCGACTTCCATGCCTGTGTGGGCTCCTAAGCTTGTGGTTGTCATGTCAACGATTAGGCTCGTTTATACAAACTTTATCCTTTATATCCTTTATAATGAACACATTTTTAAATTATTATTATTATTATTATTATACAAATGCCCCACTTCAATTGTTTGTTTGTTTTGTTTGTTTGTTTTTGCATTATATTGCACTTTGAGCACACCAAAAGCAAAAAGTATTGTGTAAAAGAGTAGTTATCAAAATATGGTTCTGTATCACTGTTGATATTTGGGCTCCTCATAGTGCGTGTGTATTTGGTTGGAATTCAAACTACCAGTTGTTGTACTACATCCCTGTTGAAAGTAGCTTTGACTGATAATTGATATTATTAGGAATACATTTTGTTTCTTAATGTTGGTCACACTGGTGCTACCAGCTAGTATTCACTGTAAACTGTTTATTTAAGACTGGTAAAAACAAGAAAGTAGTTTAATAGGACTAACAGCAAGCTAACACATTCAAATGTGATTGTGATTGTTGCTAACATGAAGCTAATGAACAGAAGCTATAATTAAGCACAAATAGATGTATTGTACACCTATTTGTACACCTAAATACAAAACAAAACAAAATGAAAGCCAACAGTCACAATGTGGATAAAAATAAGAAAGATGTATTTTATTTAAATTTAATAAAATTGGACATGAAACGCTCTTGAAATGGTTTCACTGGGCAATAAAAAGTGCTAACATAGACTAAAGCAAATTCACAAATCAACAGCAAGTTTTCACAGATTTATCATCATAATATAAATGCTGTTTTTGTTTTGGTGACAATAATTAGCCTTTGTGTTTTCCGAAGTTTTAAAGATCATTTTTAATTGCATTTTTCTTAATTACGTGCTGCAACCTACTAAATAGGTTGTTTTTTTCCATAGATAAATATTTCACATTAACCTTTCAGCAAAACTCATTAAGTGATGTCAACAGGTCTGTTGTGCTTGGTGGAGTTATTTTCTCTCTGGTGCCATTTCCCTCCCCAGCTAATTATGGTGGTCTTATAAATAATGAGCACACACAATGAAATTAGTATGCTTTAATAAGTCGAGAAGAGAGAAAAAACTGCTTAGGATAAAAGTGGAAATGTGGAAATGGATCCTGCTCAGTTGTGGAACTGAACAGACAGTTTTTGCAAACATGTTTGAGTTTGACTCAGGGTTTCAGATGGTGCCATATGGGAGGAGTTGACAACAAACACAGCACAGCTCAGTGACTGCCAGGATCATCTGACAATCACTGGAAACTCAGTGTTTTTCTCTGATGGATGACTTGCTGGATGTTATGTGTGGCCTGACTGGCTTCACTCCATCTGTCTAGAATTTCAAATTTGGCAGAAACAGACTCTACAAATTATCTGCAAACACTAGTTCACTCTATTTTTTTTGTTGATTGTATGAAATGGCGGCAGAATCACCACAGACCACATTAAGTGCTCTAGAAAATCATCTTCCTCTTCCTTCTCTTCTTTGTTTCATTATTCCGTCTGGGTTGATTCCGGGATCGTCTTGTCAGGGTGGGGAAAAAAAGCAGTTTTCAGAACGTGTATTGTTCAGCTCTTTCAAAGAGTTCAAACATGGGATCCTGGTGGTGTGTCCCATCAGTGATGGTCGTACACGTGGGTCAGTCTGTAACAGGAAGCCGTCTGAGTTCGACTGGCTCGTCGTCGGTCGTCCAGCGCCGCTCTGCGCAGAGAAGAAAAACAAAATAGACATCATGTCTACTGCTTCATACTGTATATATATACATAACCCCAATTTTCTGCCATATAATTATTATATAATAGTTGTTTTTTTAGGATTTCACAGATACAGATAGATGAGGATTTCAGTGTTGCAACACTTTTTTTTTTCATAAATCCAGAGCCGTAGAATGTCTGTCTACGTCTGACCTCAACTCTGTTATTATATTTAAAAAAAATAAATCATATGTTACAGAGTGAACTCTAGACAACTTGACAACAATCTCAAGTCAAAACTCTCCACTCCCTGAGTAAGTCAAATGTCTAGTGTGGTGTCTCACTGGATTTTATGAACTGCACTTTGACAGTTTATGTACAGTGTAATGATAGGCTGGGCTGTTGGTGGCTTTCTGAACTGCAGCAGACCCAACGACCTTCCTAACCCTGGATTCTGTGGTATTTGTTGCACTTGCTTCTAGCATTTCTTTGACATCGCCCTTCACACGCGGACCACCACTCACACAACTATCAACAATCCAGAGGCAGCAGTCGAAACTCATCGGACTTACTCTGAGGTTTAACTCTGCACTGATGCTTTTCAGGCCTCTTGTAAACCTGTGTGCAACTTCACGCGTTGAAAGAGTCAACAGAAAACTGCGGCATCGGTCAAATCTGCCTGATGTTTATTCGACACTTTGCCTTGAGTCTAAAGTTGAGCTCAATTCTCTTTTGATAGACGGCTGAAATAAGCCACCACTGCCCTTGAGCTGCAGCCAAGTTGGCCGTTACTGAGGACCGTATGTCATCTGACTAGAAGGTAACCAGAACAATATGTTTCCTTGTGAGGTGGTGACGTTATGCAGTGGGGTGAAACACACACAGTGGTCACTGCTGTTGGACAATTGAGTTAAATAGATTCTGTAAATGCAGGCAGTTCTCAGAAACACACATTAGAGGGTCGGGCCACCACACATCATTAATAACAATAAGGACAAAGATTTATGTTCCTAGAAGAAATCCTTTTTAGACTTGGGCTTTCACTCTGACTCATTGCCTTCTGACAGCAGTGTGTTTTTGGTTATGAATATCTGTGTATTTCAACTTGGTTTTGTGAGATGGTCTTTGTACAGTGACATAGTCTGAATTCTTTCTTCTTTTTTTTTGTTTTTTACAGTTTTTCTAATTCACTCAAACAATTTGATTTTTTTCCCTTCATTTAAGATCCTTAATATAATGGAAGAAAAAAAAACAATTTTTTTTGGATTGATAAATTCTGACTTATTTCAGATTTCATAATTCTGTTGAATTTCCTTGATAAAATGAAAACTCTTTTTATCATCCTGGAGATGCTTTTGGCGACGGTTGATTTCTTTATGGGCTGATTTGTCGGTTTTAGCTATGGTTTGATCTCATCCAATATATAAACCTAGCTGGACATTTTTTTACCCTAATCCTGCAACATCTAGCTACAATCTAGCTGCAATTTAAAACTTTAAGGACGTTATCCTATGACTTCCTGGTCAAAATATTTACCTGTTATAGTGAGAAAGAAAAATCTCTTCTGACAAACCTCTATATCAATATACATTAATATAAATACATGTTGGGCATTTTCACTGTATTTCTATGGCTTTGCTGCAACATGTCAAAGGTTTGTTTGTTTGTTTTTTATTGAAACTTTATTTAACTGAAATCCTAGTTTCATGGTTTGTACAACTAGGATGAAATAATAATTTTGTATAAACCTCTTCTGAGACATATGCAGCCATGCTGAATGTTAACGTGACACATTGAGTCTGGCAAGGATTTGAGCGGCTTCTCCGCTTCAAGTGTTATGTGTTCATATGGTCATATATGGGATGAGTCTTGAGTTCACTTGTCATCCTTCCAGATCCCTCCCTGCATGTTTTAGTTCAAACCGTCAGAGCAGCTGTCTGGCTCTGTAATTTATCATCATCAGAATATTACCTCTTAGTGCGGCTGCCTCTCAGTGCTGCCATTAAGATGGCCCCCTTCATAGTCCAGCTGGCACAGGATCATGTTGTTCTTGAGGAAAAACTTGTCTCCCACGCAAAATCTGCAGAGAGGAATAAAAGTAAGGAGCTGGGTCTGGGTTTTTACATGAGCAGAAGTGAAGCACGGAGCACGTGGCCCCAGAGGAGCATTTCAGGCATGATTTCAGGATACATCCAGCGCTATGATAATCAGAAAATTAATCTTGCATGATTGCTGCCTGATTAACTATCTAAGTTATACACAAAGTCTGAGCCCGTGGGGTTTTAAACACGGCAGGGAATTTAATCATGTCCTGATTACAATGCATGTAATATGCTCAGGATGATCAGTCCATAATAAGTCAAGTGAATTTGATCACCCTGGCTAATTGCTGCCCTAATCTTACCTCTGGCGGCAGAGCTGACAGGCAAAGCAGTCTAAGTGGTAGACGTTGTCTCTGGCTCTCATCACCATTTCAAAAGCAGGGATCATCTTACTGCAGGCTGCACAGTTCCCTGTCACCCCAAAGAGCCTGCAGAGACACAGAGGGCAGTCAGCAGACCTGCAGTCTGGACACACACACACACACATGCTTTCACACAGGATGTGTAGAGGCTAAAATCTATGAAATGAAAAGAGGCTTTATCTGCATTTCAACAGGGCCCTGAACCTGATATCAGATAAATGCATTTCTTACAGAGCTGCTGCTCCAAGACAAACTAATGGAGCAGTTACATCCCATTGTACGGACCATAAATACAAGCACCCAAGTAGAAGGAAAAAAAAAACATCCACAAGCTGCGACCATTAGAATTCAGAGCAGAGGAAAGGAATTCTGAATGTCACCATGTAAATAAAAAGCATTGTCTCAAGAATAATCTGCCAGAAAACCACAAACAGACGGTTTATAATGTTCACCCTCATGTATTGTGCCGCGGCAGCCAGGAAGTGTTGTCACATTAGAGGCCAGGTAATAAGAAGAGTAGATAAAATAAGTGTTTTTAGATAAAAAAGCTATCTATAACATGTAAAAAACAAAATTACAAAGAAAATTATTATTTAATAATATTATTGCTGATACACTTTTAACATTTGTCTTGAAACTTTTTGACCACCATCCTAGTTAAATATAAAGAGAATAAATATCTATATATTTTAAAAAAACAAACAAATGACATCAACATAAAAACAGTCCAAAACGTGCCAAAGTTTGAAACTTTATTGCTGTAGAAATGACTGCGCTTTCTAAACAATACTCCTGGTATTTGTTCAAACCTGTTTGATTAGTTGTACTGTAAAAATAATTGCCGGCAGTAGGTGGAGGGGTAAAGAAAACTCTGCTCTGTGTGGAACTGAGAAGTCAGTTTATCACACTTCTGTGAACCTAACAATTTATGTGGCAGCATTTGAACTTTGTCCTCAGACTACCTGAGAACAAACGCCGTGTTGTTTTTAATATGCAGCCACTCAGTGCTGCCCGGCTGTAAATTATTTCACCTCTAACAGAAAGAACCGGCTTCTCCCCAAGAGCGTGACACAAATGAGGCCAAGTGATCGAGAGTCCGAGTAGAAGCTGAGACTTTGGTGAGAGCGTGATGAAGAGAGAGCCTCGTTATCCATAACTTGAGATAACAAATGAAAAAAAAGAAGAAAAAAAACATCATATGAGCGACCAACAACGCAGGAACAAAAGCATGTGTTAATTGGGCGAGCACTCTGATCTAACGAGCCTGAGTCCTGAACAGGCACCTGGTGTGTTTTTCTTCCTTTTCCATAATGAGCCGGCAAAGCTCCATGCTAATTCTCTACTAATGGGCCAATTAAAAGAAATCACATGGTTTTAATCCAGCTCTTCAAAGGCTTTTGGTCTGCACCCTCCCAATGATGAAGAAAACAGGAGGCAATCAAGCCAATTTAACTGTCAAAAGGGTTTTGGTCTCCTAAGTGCAGCGCAGCTAATGAGAGACTTAGTTCCAACCAAATCCAGCTGGATTGTACATGAGACTAACACATGAGTTCAGCAATGTGATTGAGATATCAGGAGTTCTCCTGCTGACCTCACAGCGAACGTCGGTATTTTAGGCGAGTGGCGGAGGGAGAGGAGCTGTTGGAGGAGTTTCAGGCAGGCTGGGCTTGGAGCTTGGAACTTTCACTGAGGTTCATGCTGCAAAGTCTGTTCAGGTTAGAACCTTGGTTAACTTTTAAGCAGCAGCTGTTCCCTAAAAAACTGTGGACAAAAATGACCCTGTGTGTGGTGGACATTCTTCCACCATTTTGAATAGTACATACAAACACAGTCAACACTTTACATGTGTTCAGGATGAGGATTTTTTTTTTTAAGAATTCAGGCGTGATGAAGCTAAGCAGCAAGGGGGGGAGGGGGGGTTAGCTTAGCTTGGTTTAGCTAAACAGAGAGACTGGAAAGTCAAAGTCAGATTCAAAGATGTCACTTATATACGGTATTGAAATGAGCAGTTCCTTTGTTCAAGGCTGTTTATGGCTCAAAGCAAGTGAAACATTTTTATATATGATACTGTGCCGTATCTGACCCTCATATCCTCCCTCTGCGGACCCCTTAGAGGTCACAGTCCCCTTGTTGAAGACCTCTGTTCTAAATTATGTTCAACTTTCTTTCCAGTGTTTTTTATTGCATTTTTTTCTGTCTTTCATTGTGACCTCTGACCTGTATTTGGAAGTAATGTATGAGACACATATTTTCAATGCTTTGATTCTTGCTGTTTCCTGAGACTGTTGCAAGACTTAGACCCAGTAACAACATGAGTCTGGACAGGTCTGGATTCTGGACCTCAACATTTGGGTTCCATTACCTAAAAAACACCCTGATTGATTTTACTGATCCAATCACCAAAACATAACCTGTTGCCCGGCTCAGTTGTCAAACACTTGTATCCACTCCTGTATGTAAATATAAATGTATCTACAGACACCTCCACAGCATCAACTCCATCCTGACACCAATGTGTTTTTACTAATGTTAAAAACCCAATTTAATTTTATGCTCATTTTCTTCTCTCCTCTTCTGACTACTGCTCATCCACACACACACACACACACACACAGCAGCAGCAGCAAACTCATCAAGAGGGAGCACATCTGTTCAATCAGACTCATTAAAAACACCAATTAATTCTCATGAACAAACATGATGTCACTGCAGATTAAAATACAGGCAGTGTAAAGACACATCCAATCTCGTGTAGCCACAGGTGACACATCCACTTTAATGTCCTCCTCTGATTGGATCATCTAATGTGAATGTTAATTCCACAGCTGAATCCAGCCTCCTACATTACTGCCCAAGCATGAAGCAGTGAAGGCCGTGGAAGCACAGAGAAACTGAATGTGTTGGATTTGAACTCTTCCATGTTTTAGAAGAAACACTGATTTAAATAAAACCAGTAGTAGCAGGTCTTGGTTTAGTGCAGCCCTGACGCGTCCCCTGTCCATCACTGAGACACACATTCACACAAACAGCCATTCACATTGGTCAGCTAAGCAATTAGCCTGATATCCTGATGAAGTGAAAAAAGAAAACCCAAACCCAGAGGTCCAGAAGTCAGAGCAGAATTGATCTTGCTGTAAGGCAAAAACGCTGACCACTTCTACACCGTGTGGCCCCTGTAGATTTATAATTGTTTATAAAATCTAGGCACCAATAACAAATATCAGTCACATTAGCTACATATTAGCTATTAGCCATCTGATTGTATGACTTTTCATGACTCACATTGTGTCATGAACTCCTTAAGAAAAATTATAAATCGTTGGTCGTTTCAGCACAGGGATAAACGTGTAGAGTAAAGCAGCAGAGTTTAGTAATAATAGACAGAGTCAAAACCTACTAATCCAACAGAGTTCAGAGGTGTGAACCTTAACTGAATTGAGCAGTGAGGTGTTTTGTACAATTCTCAAGGTAACTTGATGTTTTCTTCTGTGTAGGAGTGAGAGGGGGAGGGAGGACATCTGTGAACAGTTAATAATGTTTGGGATTTTTTCACAATTTCTTCTCTTTTTTTCTTTTTTGCTAAAAGCCTCTCGAAATTAAAAAGTTGTTATCAAGCCTAATCTATAAACAAGCGTGGGGACTTTTCCCCCCTTCGCTGTGATGTTTAACCACTGGTATTAATTTCCTTTCACTCAGACTTTATTTTCGTAGCTGTTAGCTGTAATTTTCAGTGCCTCACTCTGGCATGTTGTCAAGGCTGAGGTGTTACTTGCACTGAAGTACTGTATTTGTGCTTTTCACTTTCTTCTGCTCTGTTAATGGGAGGCACTCACTGCTGCAGCTCCTTTTATCAATTTCAGTCAGGATTTAGAGAACTCACTTGATCAAACTTTGAAATCTAGTTGACCTTTCCCCTGCAGCCCCCCCCCCCACCCCCATACATCTGTATAAAGGTCATGGGTACCTCAGGTAGTCCCGTCGGCAGAGAATGAGGTTGGCCCGGGTGTAGAGGGTGGAGCCCATCCGGCCCAGGTGGCAGTCACAGCACGCACATTTTAGACAGTCTTCGTGCCAGTACCTGTCCAGTGCCTGCAGCATGAAACGGTCTCGTATCTTTCCGTTGCAGCCAGCACAGCCCCGTGTCTTCTCTCTGGACGGAAGGGACACGAAAGACACACCTGGCAGGAGACGGTCATGAAAAAAAAAATAACGTTAAACATTTAAAGGCAGAATCAACAATAGCACTGTAGGCTAACATCAACACCATGTGATGTTAGCGAGGGAAAATAGGCAGTTTGGTTGATTGTTGACGCATGGTGACAGACTTTCTACTTTTTTAATACTGTTATTCCTATAGAAACTCACCAAACGATCAAGAAAGTTTCTTCTTTATGTTGTGTAGCACTTGTAATTATATTTTGAGCATTAAAAAATGCACCTCCGTAGATAAGTGTTGTCACAGGGAGGCTGGACGTGCACTAGTTAAACAACTCCACCTGTTTCACAGAAGTGACTTTTTTCCTTGGTACGGTCCATCAACAGTGATGTGTTCAAAAAACTTCCAACATACATGAATTCCAAGGACCAAAAGTTCACAAACTTCACTGTGTATTTTGAAAAAAAAAGATGAGTTTGATAGAACATGGACGTCACTTCAGGTAGGCATGTACCAATATGTTGTATTGCAGTTGGAATACTCGCCTCTGTGTTGTGCGTCATTATTCCACTCAGTGGTGTGTAGTACTGAGATGAAGGTTACAAGAAGAGGTGTGTAGTGTTAGAGAACCGGTAAAAAAAAGTACATGACGAGACACAGCTGTCACACATGAAGGCAGTTGATAAAGTGGTCGCCAGTCAGTTCCAACAGCAAACGGAATGTGTGTGTGCGTGCGTCTGTACTCACTCTCCTCTTTGTCCAGCACCATCCTTGTTGGAAACGAGCTGAGTTCAACAGCAGGAGGAGAAATCGCCTAACGATCCTTCTTTTTCTCAGAGCTCCAGGGCGATAATAAACAGATGTTCTTTGACTCTCTCTCTCTCTCTCTCCTTCCCTCTCTCTGTGTGTGTCAATTACAAGCTGGAGTCGCTCAAACTCACAGCTCCGCTCCTCATGGTCCCCAGGTAAAAAAAAAAAAAAAAAACGCGAAACACTCCGCTCAAATGACAAAGTAAAAGAGTGGATTTCTGTGCGTAAAAGCAGCCAGTGTGCGCGTGCGTACGTCTCAACGTATCACCTTCACACGCACAGACAGGCTGCTGTGCTTTAATCTGAGCTGATGTCAGTGCAGAAGCATTCGTGTATCTGCGCAGTCTGCGGCTGTTCTCCCTCAAATGAGCTCCTCTGCTCAGACCCAGGCTCCACGCTGCTCCGCTCCCTCCTCCCCCTCCCCCTCCTCCTCCTACTTCTCTTCCTCCTCCTCTCTGGTTAAAAAAAAAAAAACTCTCACAGTCAAATGGTTCTTTCAACGCTGCGTGCTAATTATATAAAGTCATTATGCTCAGATCTGATAGTAACCGCCCCCTCCCTCTCTGAATCAATTATTCAATAGACCGTCACACACCAGGACAGCTCGGGCCTGAGGTGTTTTAGAATGAGCTTATTCAACTCCAAGGACACCAATTATCTCCAGGGCGCCCTGTAGTCAAAGCTGGGGCTGTTCACTGCCAAATGCAGCTCCTTTTCCCTCAGACTCTGTGTGAGCTCTGTGAAGTACAGGTATTCTCTTTATCTCTGGGCTGCTCTCTTCTCCTGCTACAACATAGTCTAATATGGTTCTCAAACTGTGGTATGTGTACCGCAGCTGGTACTTTGGCTCCCTCTGGTGGAAGGCAGCAGTCTCTTTTATGTTGATGTTTACACATGTTCCAACAGCTTTGATGTTTTACAGATTTATTGATATAATAAATGTGTTAATTGTGGAGCAATAGATACGTTTTGCAAGCATACTTAATTGGAGACTTTTTTTTAAAATGATTGACCGTTTTACATCAAGGTCTGAAGTAGGCTCTTTTGATTCCTTTCTTTCCCAGAAGCTGACAGACTTTTTGACAGAAACTTGATATCAGTCCATAGATGAGGCAGGTCATGACCTCGTGTGAAAGACATTCTCCAGAATCCTACAAATGCAGGAATTTGTCAGAAGTGCTTAGACTTAAATGGCGGACATGTGGAGAATAAATTTAGCAATTTTTTTCATTTTGTCTGAGAACTTTTTGACTTCAGTGAACCCTCAGTGAAATTGGTTTAGTAAATCACTAGAGGTTTGAATTGCTCAAATTTAATCCAAAGATAACTGTAAGTTAGCGTAGGAATATTCAAGTTGCTATAAAAACAACAGTCAAAACCTGCCAGAAATGTACAACACGGTCCAGTAATAACTAATTATGAGCCACTTGATTTGTCTTAGGACTTTTTGACTGTGTGTATATGCCCGGGTCTGTTTTCAGAATTTAAATGAAGTGCCAGTTGTAATGCTACCTCATTGTACAGCCTACAGTACAGTACTGATAAATAGGCAAATAAATCTTATTAAATAAATTCCCTCCTTTGCATAACGTGCTCGGCCTCACAGTGCAGTCCTTCGCTGCTCTATTTCAACGTTTCATACAAGCAGAGCCAAACCTTCCATTGGTATAGGGTGAAAAATGTTTGTGATCCACTGGGTTGAAGTGAGGTCAAAGGTCACAGTGAAGATTTTGGCAACATTCAGTGGCAACACTCAGTGTTGTAATTAGGTATTCCTCACTTACCATTTCTGTCCAAGCATGTACAGGACATGTGGTAATATAATAGCCTTCAGTCATCATTAGCCTTTGGAGAACTGCAGGGACGGTTAACATGTCACACCATCGCTAGAGGTCAGAGAGCACTGTCGCTGTGAATCAGTAAGAGCACATGTCAAGTAGAATAAGATCCAACAGCTTGGGATTTCCTGCTGGCTATAAATGCACCACAGCAGTTACAACAACAAACAGTAACCAGGGAAGTGCTACCCATGGTTAGACTGTACTGCCCACATGTTAGACTACACAGAATATAACCACAAGTCTAACGCAACATGAACCGTGTCATAATGAGTCTCTACTGTCAGTGTCCAACCAACTGCAACAACATATAATATATTAAAAACACATAAAACACATAAAACACAGAAATTCAACCAATCGCTGATAAGGGTTAGCTTTTTACCTTTGTTTTTTTTTAAATAATGTTCCAGTTTGTACTAAGGAGGGGTCCATCTTACATTGCACTTGTGGTGCCAAACTTCAGTTAACAGTTTTCCTCAATAGGTTTATGCCTAATGAAAGCCTAATGGAACCTAATGAGGTCCGTGAGTGTTGTTATGATGACAATAGAGCTCAGGAGGGCTCATTATACTGATGACGACTTCAGTTCATACAAGGAGACTTCTCACTGGAAACTTCACGTTCATTAACTTTTTTCTTTTAAAGAGAGCAAAAATGTTCACAGGAGAAAAATGTGGACGGGGCGAGGCAGAAAGAAGTACGATTGTATTGTCAACTTGACCGTCCAAATGTGAACCAGTCACGTTGTGACATTGGCGACATTTACAGACAAACATTTGCCGTGGTGGTTGATTGTGTTGTCTCCAAAATTGCAGCATCTTTGTAACAGTTTTGCCAAAGTTTTGAACAGATGTTTGATCAAGTGCCAGGATATAAAGTATAATCTGTTTTTATTTAGCCTAAAGATTTGGTGATCCAGTGTAAATACTGGGAGTCTTGTTATTTTTCATGATACTCTGTACGTGGATGGAGACAGTGGCTGTAGTATCCAGTGTCTATCTAAATAGGCCAACAGTGACTTCTGTTAGCGCTTTGTAACAGATGGAACATGTATACTAATAGAGGCTCATGGTTTTTTCATTTTCCTTCTGGTGCAACCCTCCTCATTTATTCAGGCCTGGGACCAGGACCAGGACCAGGACTAGGTGACTAGGGTACAGTGGCTGACTTGAGCCAAAACATGTCTCTCAGACACTGTCGACTAAATCCACTGCAGGGTTGAGCTGTTTTGCCAGTAATTCTTCTGCAACAGATTTCCCACACCCTTTGCAGGGATTGGAGCAAACAATCTAACTCCTTATTGGTCAAACCCTCGGGGAGATCTCCCTGTTCACTTCTCTCTTTATAAATAAAGTTTATATTGGGAACTCTTTCAAAAGGACACAATGACCCTGGAATAAAACAGGACAAACATAAAGAATGATTTTAGGAAATGAAACAACAGCTTTGGTATTAGGTCCGTGCAGCTCTTTTCATCCTCATCTACTTTTAAAAAGACGACCCAGTTCTTTTCATTGCTCTATCATCAGATGTCGCACTTCCAATCTTAGAAAAATAATTGGAAATCCGAGCTGGACTATGGAGTTCATTATTGTCCATGGTAACAGCGTGATTATACATTCTCAACTTATTAGGTGTGGTGTGTTAGACTGCAGCTGTCATGAGGAAACCAAAGACCTTATTTGTACAATCTATGGGAGAAAAATGAGATTAGTTTTTGGATTAAAAAGGCAAAGAGAACAAAAGGCTCTAACTGAAACCATACAACCTGCCATGTGTATATATATGTACATATATGCTTTTATATATATGAATGTATATGTATATGTGTGTATGTTTTTATATATTTTTACATCTACTTTATACACACACACACACACACAGTATGTATGATAAAAAATTCTAATGTTACGTACTGACCTTTGACATTTTGGTTTACTTCAAACAGAGCTTTTCTCAAAACAAAAACATTGTTGAATTAATCAAATAAAAATAATGGAAAAGACAGAGGAGAAGATCATCACATCTACACCCACAGTCAGTGACTCAGGAGCCACTGATTCACTTCATCATTTATTTGTGTATTATATATTCATGTATTGTATGTATGTTCAGTTGAGGTGACGCAGTAATGCTACAAAAGAGTGTCGAGTGACGAGCCGCAGAGAACCAAAATGCAAATGCTAAGTGTCTGCAAATGGAGGGAAAAAGCTTCTAAGTCAGAAATACGCATGGTTTTCTCTTTGTGTAAAACTGCCACAAATTGCAGTGGTTCCATCCTCCCTCCTCCCAAACTCAGCTGCTACTGTATGAAATGTGCTCCCTTTGACCCGGCTTCTCACAGCATTATGTCTGACAAACAGCCGTTCTACAAAACATCTTCTAAATTTGTCCCTGCCCTTTTCACACTGAGAACATGACGGCGAAGGCAGGCCGCAGCAGATGGCCAAAAAGCCTTCCTATTTTCACAGGCTGCTAATTAGAGCCCTAACAACAGTTCACCTTTAATGTCAGCCACAGACTGCTTTTAGCACAATTAGCCTAATGGGCTCTGCTCTGTGAATAGCCTGTAATGTTGAGTCTCGGCCAGCCGCTGCACTGGAGTTGATGTGTGTCAAAGTAGAGGACAAGAGGGGTCTGAAGCAGTGTGGATCCATCTATCATCACAGCCCATGGAGGACACGACTGTAACCATGATTACCCAGAGATACTATTTAATTAGATGCATTAATAATTTAGCTAATTAGTTCCCATGTGTCTCACAAATGAAGGGGGAACCTGGAGCTTCACTGGCACCTCATCAGCTGATTAATTAGTCTGTTGATCGTTAGCTGTCTTGACGTTCTATATGCGTTGTGATGAGAGGGTGGATAATGAGGGAATAGTCGGTCGATGGTGCTGGTTAATTAGTGTGACCTGATCCACAGGCCATGTTAGAACAGTTGTTTATGCCACAACTTCTAATGAGGAGGACTTAGAGCCGGATGATGTATTTGGAAGCAGGCGGCAATGTTGTTTATGGACTGTGGTCAGAACTGGCCTTGAAAACCACCAACGGAAATCGTTATATCACCACAATAATCTATCTGTGGGGAGTCATAATGTGTCTGTGCTGCTAAACAGGAACTTTAAATAATGCCCTTACTTTAGTCTAGTGCTGGATTTATTCCTGCCTCAACAAGTCCATGGTCCTAGGGTCTAAAGTTCTTCACTGACCAAAGCTGTTTTCATTTCTGATGTTCTGAATATATATGTAAGAAAATGACTCTGATGTATATACAACATTCTTCCCTTAATCTACATAAACTGAACTTTCTCTATTCCTGCAGGAGGTGCTATAAACACAATTTATTCCACGGTCAATGATTTAGGAACACTTGGACAAAACTGTTCCTTAATAACAAGTCCTTCATTCAGACTAGAGGTTAAGAAGATATATGAAATGCACGTTTGCGTGAATATGATTAGTCGATGATGAGTCGCTGATTGCTGGCTCTGTATAGCCATAGAACTCCAGTATGTTGTGTAGCCGTACACCTCCCTAATTTAAATCCTACTGCTTGAAAAAAATGTAGTAA